GTCTCCTCCTCCTCCTCCTCCTCCTCCTCCAATGGAGTTGAAAGAGTTGAGCACGTTAACTTGGAGAATCTGAGCTCAGACCCCCCCCACACAAGAGTTGTGTTGCAAGAAGGGCAACCATCTTCTTCTCTAGCATTTGGGGAGGGTATAGGAGGGCTGTGTCAGGATCCTCGCAATCAATCAACCGTCTTGCTAGTTTACGTGCTTCGTTTCTGCCATTATAAAGGAAAGGGAGGGGGGAAGGCTAGCAGGCGAACCGTTAGGCGCAGACGGACTGCTATCTGGTTCTCAGGGATGCCTAAGGCCGTAGCAGCGCGAGACCAGGAGACGACTGGTGACATGTGCAAGAGAGACTCGAAGACAGAAGGGGGAGGAGAAATGGGGTGGGGGTAAGATCAACTGTTGGCGCGCGTGGGCTTTAGTTCCAGCAGCGCTCTAGTTCTGTACACTACTTCTCAATAAATGAACTTTTCTTTGAACTTGCATCAGTTTCAAGGAGAGTTGTTTTTGTTGGGAGTTGAGTGCCGCAGTTTCTTACAGGCTGCCTTGGGAGGTGATTCCACTGGTGCCTTTTAACAGGAGGTTGGACTACCTGGCCTTCGAGGCCCTGCTAACAGCGGTTCTTTGTGGGGAAAGCCTTTAGAAGTGAGTACCCCGAAAACATTGCTCTTAAAGCTTTGGGCCAGAGCACGATAGCCCTGGGGACTAGGAGGGGGCTCTGGGCCTTCTGGGGTGCCCTTCTACTCCAAGGAACAAGTGTTCTCCCCAGGGAAACTAGCAGGTGCCAACGGTATTTCCTTTTCAATGCCAGTTCAGAATATTCACTTCTCTAAATCCGTGGTTTAAACCACTACAAGATTCTGGTGGTTTTAACTCCTCTGTTTATTGGATAGCTGTAGCACTTTACCTTGAGCATGAAACTGGGCAAACTCAGGGAGGCAGTGAAGGGCAGGAAGGCCTGGCGCGATATGGCTCATGGGGTCACGAAGAGTCGGACACGACTT